ATGTACAGAATCTTATACTAGAAAACACAGAATATCAACCCAGAAAACACATAATCATAACCATAAGGAACAACCGTTATGTATGCTGAAGTATATACCAAATTAAAAATATTAATATACATATAATGCTGGGTATTCATTGCTGACGGGCATGGATGCATAATCTGAGATGATCTTCCCCTTGACTGAAACATTTTTAAGCTTTGAAATGTTCTCTGCCCAGTACGGGGATCGCATGTGCAATGGCAGTTGTTTGTTTCTTCTCTGAGGTCTTTTCCTGACCTGAACATCTTCCACCTCGTCCTCTGATTCAGCAATAATGCTGAGTCAATATAGTAACATTTTATCATGGAATCCATAGTGTACAAAATATTATAATAGAATACACATAAAAAGAAGTCTATGTAATATTTAGTTTATACCTATCAAACTCTAGTTCCGATGGTGTTGGTTGTGGCTCCGGTGATGGTGCAGCTGATGATTCTAGTTGTTGTGCTACATACTTTGCTCCCTGAGCAATATCATCAACTAGATGCTCCAGTATTGTTGCAATGGGGGTTAATGGGGTTGATGGCAATGATGCTGCTGTTGGTGGTGTTGGCGGTGCTGTTGTTGGGTGTGCTGGTGGTGCTCTTGTTGCTAGCTTTGTTACTGTTGTTGCTGGGGGTGGTGTTGCTGCTATCTCTGTTGCTGTTTCTGCTAGTGGTGGTGTTGCTGCTGGCTTTGTTGTTGGTCTTTCTTTGGTAGGTGCTTTGGGTGTAGCAACTTTAGTTTGTGTCTGTGGCGGTGTTGGTGTCAGTAGAGTAAAAGATGGCATAGGGTAATCAGGAGTACTCACGGTCTTCAATGTGGCCATGAAAGTCGCTTCAAGCTCAGCTACCGCCTCTAGGAAGTTTGGTTGATTGAAGTGGGGTTGGGTTGGGGCTTGGTGTGTTTTCAGAGTGGGAGAAGTTACTGAAGACATTCTTAATCATTTCTGCACCAGAGTTTTGTGTACCTATCGCTGACATAACGTTTCTGAACTCTGCAATGCTCGAGGTCATTTTCTTCAAAGCCTCCGTGACTGTTTGAACCAATTCTGGTTGCATTGTTGCTTTAGTTGGGGGCTTCTCTAGTTGTGTTTTCCTGGCAATGACTTTCCCAATTGCAAATCCCCCTAATTTTCTCTCCACTCCAAGTTTGGTCCTTACTTCGTCAGCGGTCCAAGCAGTGATGGTGGGACAATATTTTTCCACAATTTGAGCTCTTACTTGGACCCTGTCTAGGTATGCAAGCTTTAAAAAAAAAAAAAAAAAACAAAAACACACACATACACACATTATCATTTTTTAAAATGAAATGTACAGAATTTTATAATGTACAGAATCTTATACTAAAAAACACAGAACCTCAAACAAGAAAACACATAATCTTAATCATAGGAACATCTGTTATGTATGCTGAGGAAAGTTTTAATGCACATAATCTTATATTAGAATACACATAAACTATCAACATACTACATATAAACATAAGTCTAAGTAATATGTAACCCTAGATTAACTACTCAGGCACAGAGATAATGTACATGAGATGTATATGCATAATGTACAGAATCTTATACTATGAAACACAGAATATCAAACTAGAAAACACAGAATCCTAACCATAAGGAACATCTATTATGTATGCTAGTGTATATACCAAACTAAAAATGTTAATGTACATAATCTTATATTAGAATACACATAAACTTCATACCATCAAGAAAGTGGTTGGTCCAACAAATGATGATTCTCTCTTCGTCCTCCATTGCTCAGTAGTGTCAAGGAGACAGTTGATCGTGTAACGACACCAGTTGAGATGCTTGATTTTAGTCACGTCAACCAGTGAATAGAGGATCTTATAGTGGCTGCGTGTGTTATGGAATACAGGAGAAGTATATGCATAATGTACAGAATCTTATGCTACAAAACACAGAATCTCAACCCAGAATACACAGAATCCTAACCATAAAGAACATCTGTTATGTATGCTGAAGAAAGTCTTAATGTACATAATCTTATATCAAAATACACATGAACTATCAACATAATCCACATAAACATATAGTCTAAGTAATATCTAACCCTAGATTAACGACTCAGGCTCAAAGATAATGTACAGAAGATGTATATGCATAATGTATAGAATCTTATACTAGAATACACAGAATCTCAACCTAGAAAACACATAACCCTAAGCATAAGGAACATCTGTCATGTATGTTGAGGTTAACGACTCAGGCACAGATTAATGTATAGAATCTTATATCATAATACACAAAATGTTTGAAGGTTCACCTTTGCGTGTATGTGTATTTGCTGCGAAAGAGGATGGATATGTATGCTTGTTTTTCTGCACACCATCGTTGCTGCGAAGAATATTGATGCTTTTCGCGGAGAATGTTGTTGCGTTTTTTTTGCTTTTGAGTGCTCGAAATTGGAGTGACGTTTGGAAGAAACTATGTCCTCGATATATATTTAATTTTTGTTTTTTTTTTAAAAAATGGAACGGGGATTGGACGGACGGAGCGGCGTCCGTCTCAACAACCCCCGTTAGTAACGAGTGAATGAAATGCGGTCGTTTTGTGCCAGGGCGCACATTGCTATGTGCGCCCTGGTGCATGGTATAACGATTGACTATATGGACCATAGTCCATATAATAGTATCTGTATATGTATAGATTGGTCCAGATTTTGTAGATAGGATTGAATTCTTATATTATATTTTATATGCTTTTAATTTTTATCCTTTACTTTTTATTTATACTTAAAATGTAAATTAAGAATGGTTTGCGGTTTTTATTATAGGAATGTAAAAAGTTGTTTAGTAAATTAACTGTTAGCCGATGGCTAATTACATGCAAAATGACTTTTTCAAAAAACTGATTGAAAAACATCTACTTTGATCAATTTTTTGAATTTTAGCACTTTTGGATCAATAAGCTATTAAATAAAAACTAATTAATCAAACACTTATAGTGGTTGTTTAACTAAGTCAAACAACTAATAGTGATCATATAAGTCAAAATTGGCTGATAAGCTAATTATGTTACCAAACATGCCCTATATATAAGTGTTAGGGCCTTATATTAACTATTAACTAAGCGTCCCTCCTATAGTTAGGGCCTGCTCATGACACCTCATGGTTTGACAAAAAAAAAATATCCTTATTAAAATGTTTTCAAAAAATAATTATTCTCATAAATATAATAACATTTATAATTTCATTAAAAAAATATTCTTTAAACTTGGAATACTAATAATATTTATTACTTATATATTTAGTACTGAGTTAATTACCGAAATGGTCCCTTGACTATAGTAAAATTACCAATTTGGTCCTTGAATATTTTTTTTACCAATTAAGTCCCTCAACTTTAAAAATCATAACCAATTTGGTCCTCCGTTTGTTTGACCGTTAGTCAACCGTTAACTTGGGACCAAATTGGTAATTCTCTATTGTCAAAGGACAATTTTGGTAAGAGCAAATTACACTTTTGGTCCTGTGACTATTGGGGGTGTGTTAATTTGGGTACGTGACTTTTAAAACTAACAATTTAATCCTTTGACTATCATTTTTTTAGCAGATTGGGTCCTCCCGGCCAAATTGCCGGTGGAATTCGGCCGGAAAGATGTTTCGAATTAATAAATGATATAATAGCGGGGGTAATTCCGTCTTTTTAAGTGGAAAATAATTAGCGCGAAAAGCACAAGAACTCTGTTGGAAGTCGAAGAACAAATAGCTATGCCTTATTTCTAAAATCCTCAACCCTAATTTTTAAAACCATCAACGTACGAGCAACTGAGTGTGAAGTCGAAGAAGGGAATCTGTATCTACGACTGCGTCGAGGGGTAGTTCGTCTTCTGCGACTGGATTCGACTTCTCAATGCGTAAAACGTTTGCCACTGGAATGGGGTCTGGCCCAACGACGCTACAGCTAAGTAAGAATAAATTTGTTTAACAGTTAAAATTGTACGAATTTTATGAATTTTATGCCAAATAAAGTACTTTATTGTGGAGTAGAGCATATCTAGGGTTTGTCGTGTTGTATATATTGGCATAAAGCATAATATAATTTGTACTTGTGTCTTGAAATTTTGGGACCAAAATTTGGGTTTTTGTGTGTTGTTCGTTTGTGTTCTTTTGTGTTCTGTGGGTGGGACCGATCTCTGGACTTTTGTGTTATTCGATTGTGTTCTGTGGGTGGGGACCATTATGTTTATAGTTTTGTGAATATGTCATGTGCATATACTGTGATTATGAAACTTTTCCATATGAATTTATTATTCTGTGTTTTGTGGGGACCACTATTATGACTGTTGCATGTGTGAATGGTGGCTTTACAGGAGCAGGAGTTGGCCCTTTTTCAGTTTTCCTTTTCCATAATGGGATAATAAATAGGGTTGGTGAAGTTAAATACATGGGTGGTGATGTAGAAGTGTATGAAAGAATGGAAGCTAATGAAGCCTGTTTAAATGTGTTGAAGGATAGGATAAAACACTTAGGGTATAGTGAGGTGGGAACTGTACTTTATTGTTGGTGGAATGAAAGATTGAAGTTGATAAAAACAGACAATGATCTAATATCCATATTGAATGAAGTCAACCCAAGTAACATGTTGGAGTTTTGGGTTGAAACAATGGATGATTTGGACTTGATTGATGCTGATATGGAAGCAATTGAGGCAGGTAGTGATTGGGAAAATGAGATTGAGGTAGACTGTTTGGGGGTAGATCAGCAGGATGATGTAGAGTTTGGGGATGGATTAAATGCAGTACATAAGCAGGAGGATGGGGATGGGTTAAAAAGGGAGGATGGTGATGGCTTAAAACAGGAGAATAAAGTACTTTCAGTAGCTGGAAAAAAATAAGTTGAAAAACAATTGGGATGAAATAAACTTTTCTGATGAGGACTCAATTGTGGATTCTGATAGTGATGGGGAAGGTAAATGGCCCATATTTAGAGCTGCAACAGACATGAAAGACCCCCATTTTACTTTAGGCACGACTTTTGCTTCCAAACAACAGTTTAGAGAAGCAGTTCAAAATTATGCTTTCATAAATGGCAAAGAAATTAGAACACTTAAAAATGACAAGGAAAGGGTCATAGTTAAGTGTACACAGGAGGGTTGCCCTTGGAGAATAGGCTTGAGGAAAGTAATAGGCTCACTGTCATGGAGAATTTTGAACATGATAGATGAACATGAAGGGTGTTCTTGGGTTTGGGAGAATTCTATGGTCAAATCTTCTGTGGTTGCTAAGAGGTGGTCTACTCACTTAAAAGACCACCCAGATTGGATGATGAGAAAGTTCAAGGATAAGGTGTGCAGTCAAGAAGGATTTTATGTGAGTGATTCCCAAGCCTATAGGGCTATTTGGAGGGCAAAGAAGCTAGGAGAAGGTGAAGAGGAAGATAACTTCAAAAACATTTGGAGGTACTATGAAGAAATTTGTAAGACAAATCCTAGGTCAAGATGTATTATCAAGACCAGTGGCCTGCTAGATGGGAGTGGACAAGAAAGATTTTTGAGAATATATGTTTGCTGGGACAGTAGCAAGCAAGGCTTCAAGAACTGTAGAAAACTGATAGGGGTAGATGGCTGTCACCTTAGAAGTGCAACAGGTGGGATGCTACTGACTGCTGTGACTGTAGATGCAAATGATAGTATATTTCCACTAGCTTATGCTATTGTGGAAGGAGAGAAAAGAGAGTCCTGGACTTGGTTTCTAATGCTTCTAAAAGATGATCTGGAGATAAGCCCCAATGTGGAAGATGAATACTGTTTCATAAGTGACAAACAAAAGGGATTAATTCAAGCATTTGTGGAGGTGCTACCTGGTGTGGAGCACAGGTTTTGTATGAGACATTTGCATGCAAATATGAAGGTGGCAGGTTTCCAAGGAAAGGCAATTAAGGATGCTGTATGGGCTTGTGCTAGGGCAACCACTGTAAACAAATTCAATGATGCTTTAAGAACATTAAGGAGATTAGATGAAGATGCATACCAATGGTTAGGTGATAAGAGCCCAAAAGAATGGTCTAGATCCCACTTCTCTACAAGATGCAAGTCTGACATGTTGGTAAATAACATTTGTGAGTCTTGGAATTCATCTATATTGGAGGCAAGGGACAAGCCAATCATTGACTGCTTAGAGTGGATAAGGAGGATGATCATGGGTAAATTATTTGAGAACAGGCAGAAAGCAACTGAATGGAAGGGTTTGATATCTCCTAACATTGTCAAGAAGTTAAAGGTGATTGAGAAGGATGCAGCAGGTTACCAGGCCACATAATGTGATTTCTTCAAGTTTGAGGTTCAACAACTATATGGGGATCGACAACAAGTTGACTTGGAAAGACAGCAGTGTTCTTGTAGGAGGTGGGAGCTGAGTGGCATTCCATGCAAGCACGCAATCTATGCTATTTGGAAAAAATATGGAAAGGGTGGAGTGTTGGACTATGTGCATCCATGTTATTCGAAAGAGACCTATCTGAAGATATATAGTGGATGTATCAACCCCATGGCAGGTGTAGCTGAGTGGCCTATGTGCTCCAGAATCCCTCCATTGCCACCTTTGTATTCTGCAAAGGTAAGTATTTATCTCCTAGTCATCATTTGCCACTGATATCTTTTGAGTGTGTATTGTAAGAACTTTTTGGGGCTATGCAGGTTGGGAGGCCAAAGAAACTAAGAAAGAAATCAGCTGATGAGTAGACCCATGATGGAAAGACAGTGTCTAGAAACCATATTCAACTACACTGTACTGTATGTAGGTTGGCTGGACATAATGCTAGAAAGTGTCCATCTAATCCAAATATAAAGGTATAATCTGATATACTTTTGCTTTAGAATAGTGTTGAGAAGTATTTATAACTTATCCATGTTTATATTTCCAGATAAAGCCAAAGAAGAGGGTCATTTATGCCCCTCACCAAATCAGGACAGCAGCAGCACCACAATCAGGTCAGCAGAGTGGAGTAGGGCAGCAGCAGCATGGAGACTAGCCTACTGGATTAGAACATCAACACCAGTCTGAAGAAAGGGAACACACTCAGCAAGAAGAGGTGAACCAGAATGCACTAGATGGAGAGCAAAATGAAGAGAACCAAAGTGAAAGGCAAGCCAAAACCAAGAGAGGAACAAAGATGAGGGAATCCAACAGGAAAAAACCCTATTATACAAGGAGCAAGATAGTGATGAAGTCGAAGTTCTTTGGCAACAAGGATGACCCAATAGACATTCAATGACTGCAAGTTAAATTCGATTGGTTTTTGGAAAGTTTTTTGACTGTTGCATGTAATGTTGTACATTGGATTGGCTATTATGGTAGTATGTTTGACTTATGCATGTAATGCTACTGAATGTTTGCAACCGTAACTTAGTTTGTAGGTTTTGGTAATATAGCAGCTAATGGTGAAGTATTTGTAATGGTGAATACCAAAACTCAGTTTTTGTCAATGGTAAAGCAGTCTAAATTGTAATGGTGAATACCAAAACTTGCTGAATTGTGATGAATACCATAATTCTTACATTGCCATACCCTCATTCTTACATTATCAAAAGATACAATAATTCTAACATTGCAATACCATCATTCTTACATTGCCAAAATATACCATCATTCTTACATGAAACATAACCTACATTACCAACCACACTGGCCACTGCCATTACACATACAGACCGCACTGGCCACTGCCATTACACATACAGACCACACTGGCCACTGCCATTACACATACATACCATAAATATGATCAGTTCCCTAAAACCTACAACTAACAAAGACTACAAATATTACAATGAACACTACTACAACCTTGTTCATCCACCTACAACCAAAACACACTTTGCCATCGTCTTTATCACCTTTAATCTTCATATTTAATTTGCGTATCTCATCATCTTGTCGGTTGATGCGTTTTAGTAATCCCGGAATAATTTTCTTTGAACGATAGCATATTGGAGGATCATACCAATCAATAAATCCACATCCCACCTTCCTCTGAATTAATTCAAAAAAAAAATTAATCAATTACCTTCGAACACCCCTTCAAAAATTAACAGAAAAATTTTAACAAAAATTGGAGAGAAAAAAAATCAAAACTTACATTACCACCGGAGCATTGCCAAAATCTACGACCTGGATTTTCATTTGTCCATGAAGTTCGAATTTTCAGTTGTTCACCACATCTACAATGGATGATTGGAAACCTTTCCCCAAATTCATAGTACTCACTACCATCATTGGAAGAACAAGAGGAATAGGAATTAGCCATAACCAGAACGAGTAGATGGAGAATTATGCGTGCCACTGCTTTCTTCTCTTCGTACTGGGTTCGTATCCTTCGTGTCCCCTTCTCACCAAATCTGCAATGCAATTAGGGTTCTTCGCTATTCGCATATCACCAAATACGCATAACATATAATTTGCAGCTAATTATTTTCCACTTAAAAAGACGGAATAACCCCCGCTATTATATCATTTATTAATTCGAAACATCTTTCCGGCCGAATTCCACCGGCAATTTGGCCGGGAGGACCCAATCTGCTAAAAAAATGATAGTCAAAGGATTAAATTGTTAGTTTTAAAAGTCACGTACCCAAATTAACACACCCCCAATAGTCACAGGACCAAAAGTGTAATTTGCTCTTTTGGTAATTAACTTTAAGGGTGGGCAATTCAGTTCAGTTTTCTCGAACCGAACCGTACCAAACTAATTAGATTCGGTAATATACTGAACAACCAAACAGTAATAGATTCTTGTATACCGAACGGTTCGGTAAACACTCGAACCGAAATGAATTTTTCGGTAAAAACTCGAACCGAACTGAATACCGTTTGAACTTTCGATTGCTATTTTGTTATATATTAGACTTTGGATATGGACTATGTAAACACCATAACACATAATATAGAACTTTTGATAACAAAACATAAAGAAATCAAATAAAACATTTACGAGAGATACCCGTGAGAATATGAGCTGAACGGTAGAGCAAGCAGCAAGGGACTTGGATTTAATTTTTATTTATTTATTTTATTATTATTATTATTATTATTATTATTATTATTATTATTATTATTATTATTATTATTATTATTATTATTTTTATTGAACCGTTCGGTATACAATAATCCAATACTGTTCGGTTGTTCGGTATATTATTGAACCAAACTAGTTCGGTTCGGTTCTAGAAAACTAAACCGAATTGCCCACCCCTAAAGTTAATTACCAAAATGGTCCCTTAACTATACGAAATTATCAATTTGGTCCCAAGTTAACGGTTGACTAACGGTCAAACAAACGGAGGACCAAATTGGTTAAGATTTTTAAAATTAAGGGACTTAATTGGTTAAAAAAAATAGTCAAGGACCAAATTGATAATTCTGCTATAGTCAATGGACCATTTTGGTAATTAACTCTTTAGTACTCGAATATCGAGTATAAAAATATCCCAAAGTCTTAAATTTACAATTTTTTTAATAGGTAAAAGTATATATATCAATTAGTTAAAATATTCAATATATTATGTAAATTCTGTAAGTTCGATTGGACATCAAGCTTGTCCTCAAGCATGAGAACCTCATGCAGCACGTAGTCAATACCTCCCACGATCAAATGGCATCCCCAAAAGAAGTGCAAAAGGAAAAGCCTCAATTGGCATTCGACGAATCAATGGAGGAGCGAAGTCAGCGAACAGTGGTGAGGAAGACCCCAAACTTGGAAATCCTTTGAAGGAGTTAGTTGGAACAACAACATTAGATGATGAGGGAGACACCAACGATAAAGACTGACCAATACCATATGACACAACTCTTAAATGAGATGGGGTTGGAGAGTGGTGAAATAACCCTCCCACGCATAGGACAATTTTTGGAAAGGGCACAACCTCAATTTCATCAGCCTTTTGTGTTGAAACCACATGAGGCTGATTTGCTGAAATAGTGGCTTGCAATGGTTCATTAAAGCTCCTTACCATAATGATTTCCTATCCCTATAGGAAATAAATCAATTCTAATAGTAAGGATAATAAATCAATTCTACCCGCATGGGCAGCTCAACTGGTTACAAAGGTGAAACTTTGGAAGAATGACCAGGGATCGAGTCTCACCAGCGACCTCATATAGTGAAGGGGTTTCCTTGTGCGCAGTGAGGACTGGTCTAGCCTCTGAACCTCGTGCGGTAAAAAAATATCTCAATTAGTCTAAATATTAAATATATATTCTTCTAAATTTCTAAATTCACTTAGAGGTTGGGGACGCTATATCATTTTCGGGATATTTTTTTTTTTAAAGCTTGGGTTTAAAAACAAAAAAGAATTTTTTAAAAATGAAAATGGGAAAGTATTTTTAGGGTTCTTTATGTCGATTGTAAATTGTTAGCGAATTATTATTATTTTTTTTGAGAAAATTGTTAACGAATTATTTGTAAGTAAAAATAGTCACTACTTCAAGTACAATTGGGGGAAAGTAATAGATGTAATAGATGCAATTATAATTATGGGCGAAATAAATGATATTAATATAAATTAAATAGAATCCATGCACACCAATCAAAAGAAGGAAATTAAGAAATACTAGATTGAAATCATAAATAAAACATAACAAGAAAACAATACGACATACTGATAACAGAAACAACACACAAAACAATAACATATTTCAAACAAATTTCGGAAACATGACATGAATTAAATGCAATCCCGCCCACCAACAATTGTACATAAAGATGAACAAGACAACTGGATTTAGATAGACGACGAGAAGAAATTGTAAAGCAATCTTGATTCAAACTCGGGACTTGAAAAGCCGATAATGAAGAATTACCGGCGACGCCAATGTTAGTTGGCAATGCGGCCACCAACAGCAGTAGGGAAAAGCATCTGTAGCTAATAGCTCCCCTCACCGTCGCCGCCAGGGGCGGCGGAGGCTGAGTCACCATGCTCGGGATGAACCATGTTGCAAGGTCGACGTTTGAGGGCAATTGTCCCGCCGGTGCTGGCGGAGTCGTCGTTGTCCACCGTGGATCAAACAGCGAGGCTGGCTGCTGAGGGACGTATTAACAGCCGCCACCATCTAATCCGCTGGAACCGGCGGCATCCGACCGTTTCGACGGCGACGGTGGGGAGGCCTAGCTGCCGCCGCAACGCTGTCATTCTGCACCACCCCCCTGCAATTCCTGCTTTCTCTTCTCCAGCTCCATTATTATCTTGTCATTAGCCATCGCATACAAACCCTTAAGTTGGCTTACTTCCATCTCCGTCATGCTTTTTCTCCCCGCGATTACCCTCCTTCATCAGCACATTCATCTCCTTCCTCTCCACTTCCTCCTCCATCCTCTTCATCTTCGCAATCACCTCATTAACCCTACCCCTCATATACTCCTCATGAAGCACCATCCTCTTCACCCTCTCCCTCTTCAGAACCTCCACAAACGCCAAGAACCTCTTTGTCGCCGCCTCCACCGCGGGCAAAACCATCGGACCCTTCTCCGTCATCGGACTAACGATCACAATCTCAATCTCTTAACCACACAACACAGAAAGCTCCTACGCTTTCTTGAACAACGCCTCCGTCCTCCTCTCAATCATGCATGAAAGCGCAGGAGCTTTCTGTGTTGTGTGGTTCAGAGATTGGGATTGTGATCGATGACGGAAAAGGGTCCGATTATTTGGCCTGCGGTGGAGCCGTGGAGGCGGCGACAAAGAGTTTTTTAGAGTTTTTTCACCACTGCTCGCATGGTGATGATATCGGAAAACTTTATCTGTGGAGTGAATGCAATTAATTATATTGCTATAAAACCTTTGCAGACCAAACTAGTATAATTATATTTTCCAAATTTTTATTGTATATTTATAATTCCGGTTAGTGGTCGAGTTTAACCCATTATAACAATATTTTAATGGTATTTTGAAATTAATCGGCGTTTAAGCAATTATAGAAATATTTTAATGATGTTTCTAAAGGTAGAAATCGATTAAGATTCATACGATACAAAAT